AAAAAAAAAAAAAAAAAAAAAAAAAAAACTCCAAGGGATAGAAATATCGATTTGATTATATCAGTGCATAAATATTGAATATTCTTGCTTGTCAATGAAAACAGCAACCTTTACAACAAACATTATATTAATTAAGCTAAATTACAAGGAAAAAGAATTTTAGTATTACTTCCGTTTTGGCAAACTTTGGGAATCCTCGTATTTACCGATCGAGCAGTTATTATCGTCTCAGGTTGTTCGACCAATCACAGCACGCGAAACTCTATATCATAGTCCTAAAATCATAGTTGGCATCCTTACGATATATACCGCCGGAAAAAGGATGTTCAAACTAGCTCTTCATATCGATCAGTGTAATATATTAAAAATTTCCTGCCGCATATAAATAAAACTTAAAGTGCCTATCACCCTTCTGACAATATTCATATGTATTGATTCTATATGGGGTAAGATGTTGAATAACCCGAAAAAAATTCATAGTTTGAGTGCGGCTTCTTGAAGTTATAAAGGCTTTTCCAAGTCATATATGCTATTATTCCTTTGCTTTCTTTATATTATTTGGTTATAATTACACATTTCTTTATTGTAAAAATGTTTATTAATTATTATATTATATTAGTATTTATCAGTCTTTAATTAAGTCGTATTTTTACAATTTATTTATAAACTAATTCACTGCATGCAGCTTGAGTTAAATATAAATATTATTTGCTAACCAAAGTCTTTTTTCATGATCTCTAATCTAATGCGTTTACCGCTGCTTGGTGGACGGCTTGATGCCTAACAGCCTTGCAACCCGATTAATAAGGCAGCCGACTTAGCTGAAAAGTGAGAAATGGAATGCCATAAAAAGGGGATTTTTCAAAATTTACACCGGCATTTTCGATCGACGAAAAGAGTGGCCATTCTAGGTCGAACAAGAAAATGGCGGACATCCGCCTTCGGTGGAGAGAGTATGAAAATTACATGCAGTGGCAAACGTTCTTCAATGAGTCGCGCGCTAGTATACTAAGTAAAAAAAATTAGCTCTAACTGATTTTTATCGATTTTTATCTAATTAATCGCTTGATATTCGGAGAAACTGAATATACTTGTATGGCAGGGTTTTACACAGCAACGTTGAAGACGAAAAAAAAATTCGTTTAGGAAAATTAAAAACTTATAGAGCAATAATAATTTTTCACTTTTTTTGTCTGTTTTCAAAAGCATTACGATTGGATGGTTAACATTTTCATGGTCTCTGATTGTTTCTCTCGGAAGTCATTTTAGTGTTAGCTTATTTTGCTCATGCGCATACAGCGGGCAGTTGATCTGTCAATCAAACTGAATAATGTCCTCATTCCAAGCATTTTCATTGGTCTTCACCGTCCCGCTCAACTGAAGATGCTGTTTTTCGAGGTTATTTTTTCTCCACTTTATTCTTCGGTTTTGGAACCAGACTTTGACTTGTGTTTCTGTTAGTCCAAGTTCGTTGGCCAAAAAAAACCTTTTTTTAAAAAAAGAAGAAATTAAAAATAAGGGAATACCGGATACATAAAAATTCAGAGTTCTCCTATCAGTAAACGGCTTTTCCATATAGCCTATGGAAGAGGTTTGGGAGTGCTACCACACTTTGGTATAAAAATACCCAAACGGGACCACGATTATGATGGTGATAATGTTGTTGATAGAGCTGCTGTATCTGCTGCTTCTTATGATGATGATGATGAATAAATAAATAAATAAATAACGAGGTTCTTATATAGCGCATTTTTACATGGTCTCAATACACTTCACAATCATGACCAGTGGGGGCTGCGTATTTAGGCGCTAGTAGCAGCCGTGCAGCTTACAATCATGAGTGATTTGTTAGTAAGTTAGTATTAATGCCTCCAGATTGGGATAGGCTGTTGAACCGGGAGACAATCCCCTACTCTTACACGAGTATTCAACAGGTTTTTTTATGTCCCCCATTTACTGTTGGTTAGGAAGGGTTGGGAGACAGGGTCCTTGTCCGAGAAGACTTGAAGGTCTAACCATTTGCAGATGTAATTACAAAGGCAGCACCTTCTCCTCAGTTATTTTAAGACCCTGAGTGTTGGTCCGGCCGAGGCTTGAACCACGACCTCCCGCACAACAGACCGACGCTCTTACCAACTGAGCTAACCGGGTGGTGGTGGTGATGATGATGATAAAGATGTTGTTGTTGATGATGATGACGATAATAATGATGATATAATGTTAAAAGTGATCACTAGATAGTGATGGAGGTGTTGGTGATATGATAATGATGATATTATGATCATGATGGTGGTGGTCATAGACATTCTTATGACGATACTGATTCTAATTCCTACCTGTCCGTACCGACCATGTACTGTTGTCTGTCAAACTCCCTCTCCATTCGTTCAAGTTGCTCCACTGTAAAGATAGTACGCATGCGCTTTGGTTTGTCGAGACACCAACTATTTTGTTCAGCACTTTTTTCTTTATTTTCTAAGAAAATTGAACAAATAAGAATGATTGTCAATCAAACAATTCATTGATCGTTTCCGATTGAAATAATAAAACTCATAGCAGCCATGTTGGAGGAATCACGGTAAAGACACCCGACACGGCGTCCATGATCACTGGAGGCTATGGTGTCAACACAACTCCAGAGAATGATCACTCAGCTTTACTGGAATAGCCAATCAGGAAACAGCTTCTATCCTTCAACTCAAACCTATTACAGATTTTGATTGGCTTAACAGACTATTTTGATCATGTGCAATGTACGAACCTGCTTTGTCTACCCTTTAAGAGTTAATGAGCATGCGCATTAATAACCGCTGATTCATGTTGACATGTGGCGGCGGCTCGAATCTTTCGGAAGAGGAAATCGAGAGAATTGTGGGRAAAAAATCCGCAAATACTGATAAAGTCAAATAGAAAACCCTTGAGTAATATAAAACCTTTCCCCCTAATATTATTCAGCAATTGTTTTTACTAGATCATGCATGATACGCCCCCTGGGGCTGCTATTAAACTGGTAGCACATTTGGCCTACGGGTCGAATCGTTAAATGCACTTTATATTATAACTTTATGATTGTAGAGCAGGCGTAAAGCGACAGATGACGTAAGACGACTGAAAACGCTTATTTATCGATCTGCTAAAATCTTACTGAGCGAGCGAGTGACACATTTGAATATTCAAACCCCTCAATCAATCTAACTACTCGTTTTTACGCTTCGCRTGTCCACGAGTTAAAAATAACATGCCGATATTGGTGGCTGTAACATTTTGTTTAGAAGAGACGTTAGTCGCGACTACATCAGTGGGGAGTTGTTTTGATTAGATTCCAATTCCAAAATCTACCTTTATCTAAATCTATCTTTATTCTATTTTCATTCCTAAAGATCTATTGGTTGTTTGAAGAAGACAAAGTAAGATTATCATGGAATCTAGTGGTTACTGACACACGAGATGAAAAGTTGTTTGTCTTTTGTTTGTAGTATGTAAGACTCTAAGAAGAAGTGAAGAACGAAAARAACAAAAAAAAAAAAAGAAGAACAATAAGCTATAGAAGATTTTATTAGGACTTTAACAAACTTCTTATCAAGCTTTATTCTATATATTAGTGTCAAAGTTGGAGTAGAGAAAGCTCACTCCATATATGTTATGATCAATTCCATATTTGGATTGTGCGGAAAAGCGGCAAACAAAAAGGCCGTCGTTTTATAACGAATTCGACATGAACATTTTTGAAGAAGAAAAGAAAAGAAAAAAAGACAAGTACAGAAAAAGAAAAATTTTGAAAAATCGAGGAAGGATACGGGGACGATGCTAACTCGTGGGTCTGCCTCGCAGACAACAGACACAGGGAAATACGACACTCATTGTTTGATATGTTAAAATTAAAATTAAAGAATGCTCCATTGTGAGTATACATGATCCGGTACTAGGTATAAACACCCTTTTTACAGATCTATTCTTGGCTCAGAAAGTTTTGTTCCTTGATTTACCTCAACAACGATCGGAAGCCTTGAACCTCCCACTTATCGAACAATAACAAACTGTTTGATTGACTCTGAATGCAACACGTGTTTAGCACGATACCAGTAAAAAGTCTACGAATATGAATGAAAAAAAAAACAACAACTTATCGAGTGATGTCAAAGTTCAAAATCAAGGCTTAGTAAGAATCGATGTGAAAGTTGGTGTAAAATGAAAAGCTTCTTTAAGAGGCATCAGTTGCAAATGTGTTATCAAACCTACAGTTTTTCACAACAGTACCAGTAAAAGCATAATATCGATCATTAAGCATATCTGATGGTGGGAATGACGTCACCCACGTGACTTGTTGGACCGCACAAACACATAGGGCATATACGCCCATTTCAATAAACGTTGTCATCGCCCAGGAAGGCGATTGGCAATAGGCGATAGGCAAAAAGCGATAGGAGAAAGGTCATTCCAAAATCCAAAAATAGCTGGAATGACTTGAGTTTCTGCTTCTATCTTCTGCTTCTCTCGACAAGATCAGACGGATTAAATTTTATTGAAATAGGTGTATATGTTGATTTGGTCAAATCCAACTATTGGTCTATCGTCAATGCTGCGTTCTGATTGGATGAGCTACTAATAGGCTATAAGTTATATCCAATGGTCACGTATTATGTGCATGCATATATATATATATGTAATCTATATGTATGCGTGCATGTATATATATGTGTATGTATGTTGTGTATGTGTGCATATATATATTATATATCTACTTTATTATATATTTAATGAATTTATTATATTTATATACATATTTATCATATATTTTATTATTATTATTATCTCTTAGTATAGTTCTTAAACTGTTTAAAGAGTACATGATTAAAGATTAAAGATCCTACTAGAGGGAAAAGTGCCAGCTTTGAAAACCAAAACATTATATTAACCTTAATTCGCAACTCGTTTGCATCTATATATTTAACAGACTAGTTTTTATTTAATTTTACTAAAACAATTAGTCCTCTCGCCCTCAAGGCCTATGAGTCAATAGCCTATTCGGGCATATGCCTCATGAGCTATTGACTCATAGCCCATGAGGGCTAGAGGACTAACATCGAGTTTTTACATAGTAAAGAATATCTTATGACGGCGTAGGAGTGAACCCTCAGTGATTTGGTTGTGAATTAAGCACTTCAGTAATAGGCACTTATGAACAAGACGATCATTCTCATTCTCCAACGCCGCGACCTATATATAGAGTTCGTAGGAACGGCATACAAGTGATTTGGGTGTGAATACACTTACAAGGCGCTCAAAGAGCCGGTCGATGTCATTTAATTGATATATAGTATCAAATAATGTTAAAGTATTTCCGGCCATAGAGAAAATAAATTCTGCTTGTGCGTAAGCCATGAACGTGCTACTTAAAAGGGTTGTAATAATGGCCACAGTTTTTAGTCTTCTTCTCTTGAATATTCCCTGGGGGGAAACGGTTTTCGAAAGCGAGAGAAGAATTAGCTTTGGCTCATTTTGGAGGGGTTTTTTTTGACGAAGTTTTGCATAATAATTCAAACGCTATAAACATATGTGATTTGGCAGTGATTCCTTTTTTGGGAGGGAGAAAAAATTGCATGAACTTTCATATATCTGTAGAAATGGTAAAGATAGAGTTAACTAATTAAAGAATGCAAAGCTTATTTTGGCTCCTAATTATCCATTTGAATGAATCTTTATGAAAAAAAGAAAGAAAAAGAAGGAAAAAGGGGGAGAGATATTCAACATTAACTATCAAATGTTAACTATGAGAAACGTAATCGCGTAGATTGGATCTTGCATGTCGACGTTCGGGTAATTTTGATTATTGGAATGATTATCCCAAATAACCTCCACTTGTCAGCATCAATCATGTTGTAAAGTGAAAAATAATAACAATTGGAATTGAATATAAAAATATAAAATCTGAAAATAGCGGAAAACGAAAGAGAGAAGAAGAAGGAGAAAAAGAAGAAAATCAGTGATGAGAAAGATTTGACGATAGAAACCAAGTTCATGGAGAAAGAACTTTTTCAGTTTCCCCAGAAGACAATGTTTTTCTTCTAAGCTGGCTAAGGTTCTCATTCGCTTTATTTTATTTGTCTGTTTTATGTAAATAGCCAGTTTACTAGATTTGCTTTAGGGGAAGCCCACGTCCCAGCAGCACCTTACATCATCACTCGCTCTATATACCCCCAATAGATTCCTAAAGATTTTCATTGTGAACGTTATTGAATTAGATGTTTACCCAATATTTAGTACTAATACCTTTAAAGCGATTTTATCTCCTAGCAACTCCTAATTAAATGGGGGAATATCGATTGTTTATAGTCTTCGCGTATACATATCAATGGGATACAACTTAACAGGAAACTAGGAAACAACCAGCCGGCGAAAGCTAGCATAAGGAGTCCTAAAAAATTAGATCAAAACTACACTTTTAAATCGTGTCATTTTTCAAATCTAGTGCGCAATTATTTTGCTTTATGGACTTGATTTGTTTTTAAGGAGTTTTGCTGGTGTCGAATTGAGTCATCGAGTCGGCAAATGACTAAGATTATCATCATGAAGTATACAGAATATATAAAGTTTTATGATGTTCGCCTAATTCTCTTGGTCTCTAATGCTCTCTTCATTACACTGGTTTACTTTCTATCTATCCGCCTTGCCAATAGTCCGTGTTCTCACACAACAAGCTAATAAAAAGCAAAGACTGGTATTGTCCCCAAAGTGCAGGGTTAACAAACTTTGGGTTAGTTTCGTGCTGACTGAAGGTGAAAATCAGTCAAACATCTATGTCGACTTTTTTATTTCACTTGTCCTAATAAATGAGGACTAATTGTAAAGAAAAATATCTTTTTAAATTATTTTGGAGTAAAATTTGCTTGTTTTTACGATGTATATTTTATCAATAATGCTGAATAATTATATCATTTTGCGAGTTTTAATAGCTTTCCCAAATAAATCATTCTTCTGTCTTACTGTCGTCAACATTAATCATATTTATCGCTGTTCCACACTCACCATTTTTCGTACTTGCTTTCACAAAGGTGTTGGTTTGTCCTCCCAAGTTAGTTCGAGGAAGATTGAGGTATGGATGAAACCTTGTGTGTACATACCCTCGTCCTCGGAAGTATCGTTCGTTGTTGATAATCGATGTTGACTCAGATGGGTCTGTATCTCTGGTACAAGAGTCGCGCGTAAGGATAGATTCGATGCTAAATGTCGATCTATTAGACTGACTCGACATTGTTTGTTTTGCTGGGTCTGTAACCGCTCTCTGCAAACATCCAAAACCTGCTCCATAGCTGTAGAACGGTATTTGATAAGGAGTTTGCGCAAAAAATCTCTGGTCCATATTGGTTCTTTTTCACCTTCTGTTCTGTACTCACACAGTCTAGTTTGAGGAGTGACTATTTGAGCATGCAGAACCTGTTGAGTTTCTAATTTATAATCCCCTTCACTACTGAATTCAAGAAAGAAACATTGTTAGCCTATTATGCCCAGTTCTTTCAAAAGAGCATCAGATAATTGGTTATTAACAATTAATTGGTAAATGTTATTTCATTTGTATATTCTAATTTTTAAGCCAATGGCATTCAAATGATAATTTGAGGGCATCACACATGTGTTAGTTTTGCGCAATCAGGTTGGTGGCGACATTTCGTGTCAGCGCCAGCTAAGACCAGACCGGGCACACCTGTCTTTTAACTGGGCAGAATTTACGTAAAAAAAAAAACCAAAGCAGGTCCTTTAATTCCTTCCCACGACATTCCACTCAAAACGTCTCTAATTCGAGGTACCTGCTTCAAGACTTCTGGCCATATGTTTTATGACTCCAATCTATACTTGATGTAACTTTGTCTATACAAATCCACAAAAAAAAGAATCTGTAATAAATGTATTTTTTAACAGCTTCAAAACAAATTGTTTCAAACTTTTTCGTGTACAGCTAGGTGAGGCTAAACGATGGGCACTTTTGATTTTGCGTTTAACCAGATTTTTACTTTTTTAATAAATATATAAGAGGATGTTTGGTTGTCCACGGCTATTGTGATAAGACAATAGTCGATCCTCAATGATATTGGCACTCAACCTATACGAACTCTTTTGATAAGAAAAACCAAGTAAACTTGAATTTTCGGTCATGCAGGATCTGGATTTGAAGCTTAAATAGCTTTAATTTGAAGTAAAAGCTCGTAATAATTTGTAATTATGGAGGGGAACTGAATATGAGCAACCAACAGGGAGTAAAAACCTATAAAAACCAATGATACTTACAGTTACAGGAAGCCAATTATATCAATTAAAAAGGCTATCAGCAGGCGATGATTGTATAGCGGGTTTCGGCGAGATACTAAATTGAATCAATAAATTCGAGAAAATCGCCAATATATGCATGAGTTTTCTCGAATCATCGACTTTGTAAAAAAGTGAAAAAGTTGTTCAGTAAAAACGAAACCAGTAGTTAGAAAAGAAAAGAGAGATTTGTAATTCTTCTCAACAATACATTTTCTGATTTCTAGGAAAAAACCTTTGATTATGATATTTTTTCATTTCATTAACGCCTTTTATTGCTTGTTATATGATTTAAGAGCACGAAGTCAACTAAATTAAGTCAATAGCAGCATTTCCAATGAAGAAATGATTCAACATCATGATGAAAAAACATAATTATCGAACAAATACCATAAATGAAGCAGATATTAGGTGTGAATCAATCATGTAAATTAATAAGGATATACACTGTTTAATGAAACGAGAGAGAAAAACATGGAATATGCATTAAGGCCGATTTGGACGGTACGATTTTCGCCTACAACTGTCGTATACAACACGCTCGCGTGTGTCGTAGACGAGTTGTAGGCTTGATTTACACGCTACGACTCGAGTTGTAGGATGGCGCGAGCGTGTTGTATACGATAGCTGTAGGCGAAAATCGTACCGTCTAAACCTGCCTTTATGAAGAATCTTTATTTTGATAAAGTTTTCTAACTGTCTTCTTTTAGATCCTTGGAAAGATTGTCATGAAGGTCAATATTTCTTGATTTTCATACTGATGAAATAGTTTTTATTAGTTTTTAAAATTTAGTCTTTCACCACAGGAGGCATGGGCCTTTTTCACGCGGCATCCATGTTGGATTGAACAATAGATTCCACCACGCGTAGCCTCAAATTCAAGCGCTTGAGAATTAATTGATGCTGGGGAAACAAAGGTTTTTATTCTCATGAGAATAAACATGGCCGCCGTGTGATATAGGCCCATGGCTGCCATCATGTGATGGTGCAAAGCCTCTATTGTTTGTAGTAGCAGTCGCACACTAAACTCAGAGTCGGCAAGGCAACCATTGCATTACGACTTGGCAGGTAATGCGACAGCGACTGATGTTGGCTCCGCAGCAAGGAAACCACGATAGACATTACATTTTTTTTTTTAGCAGTTCCAGTTTTTTTTTTACTTTCAAAAATAGCAGATATCGGAGTTACACTCTGTTGCCTTCAAACAATAGATATCTTTGCAATACAAAGTATTTTGTCGTCTTTCTAACTTTGATCAAACACTGTATAGCTTTTGGATGTAGTGATCTCTCAAAGATTTGTAGTAAATTTCTTAGCAAATTGTACGAAGCTCGACTCGATAGTCTCGTTTTGATACTGCGTTCATCACAATACCGCTGGTTTGTTGGGGTGGCGTGCTCAACTACGATAACAACTATTAGAAAGTTTCAGCGTCTTAAATATTTTTTGGCAACGTATTTGTAAGAAGGAGCAAACCGTTCATTTTCGGACCTCGTACAAATGCATGCCAAACGAATGTACTTCAATGCTTTCTCCGCTCTGTTCTCTCTCTCCCTTCAAACAGTCATCCAACTACTACTATAGCTTRAGAGCGCTAAGACAATAGGGCACGAGGGTGAATAGCTAGAAAATAGGTTTGATTGTTTTTATTAAATTCCAAAAACCTCGTGTTAAATATTTCATATTAAAAAAAATTATCACAAAGTCAGCTCTCCAGAGGTTATCTTATGAATCTTTTCTTCTATGTTTTCCTTACTTTTCATTCGTTTTCCTCCACGTTTGAAAGTTTTTTTTACAATATTCTTCTTACAATTCTAAAATTTCTCGCGCGCTGATTGGTTATTTTTCATTATCAATTTAAGAGGACAGCGATAAAGCTGACGCCAACGAGCGCGCGCTCTTCCTTTTGTTTTTTGAACACTAAAAACGAGAAGTTTTTATCATTTTTGTTATTGTAAAAACAAACTTACATCAGTTTTTTATGTGTCTGTCCTCTTATTGACGATAAATTTCGCCATCATATTGTCGAAGTAGTGTGCAGTCAACACTCGCCTTGCGGCCCCCCCATATTACGGACACCTTGCCATTACGGACAGGAGAAAAATCCCCCACAAAAATACTGACAAAGAAATGACCACAAATAATTTTCGCTATTGCGGACGCTCGCTATTACGGACATGAAGCGACGGTCCCGAGGGTGTCCGCAATTTATCGTCAATAAGAGGACAGACACAAAAAAACTGATGTAAATTTGTTCAATGACCATTTTTTTATATTTTCCTTTAATCTATCATTGTTACTTTTTCTACTCATTATGTCTGAGGTAAAAATGAACACAATAACAGTGAGGCAGTTCGTCAAAACAGCGAAATTGCAGGGAACTATGAATACCACGAGTTGAGTCGAGCCCTCAGACGCAAATGGATGTTAAGATGTCTTGGTTATTGACTAGTATGCCAAACTAGCTTATATCAATCCATTGAAAGCTTTTTCAAGGATTTTAAATTTTAAATACAGCTTTTCAGTGCCAATATATCGTACCGGCGTACTCCGCACTGCTAACCAGCTTGACACCTTGTAAGAAAGCGCACTGAAAAAAAGATTACCTGTCGATATTATTTGAATAGTGTACAAGAAGGAATTGATATTTAGGGCAAATCACGAAACATTGATTGTAGTATAGCCGCAGGCGAGACGTAGTATATTGGTACTAGATATGAAGCCATTGTAAGCCAGATCTTAAGTCCAGTGCCGAATACTTTACTTTCAGAATTGCTATTGGTCACGAACTAACGTAAAAAGGAACTCGTTACAAGAGATTTGGGGATTTATCCATGATGTAAAAGACTATCGAATATCAAATATCAAATGCCCAACACGTACCTTAGGGAACAGAATTATTATAATATTCTGTACGAAACTAAAAACATTTTACAGTCACCCCAAATTCTCCCTCTACTAACCACTTTATCATAAATTAATAATTAAAAGAAAAAGAAAGCAATTTAAATATAAAAGTAAAATAAAAAGATCTAAAATTTAATTCGACGTTAATGCTAGCAAACGACAGGAAGTTGTGTTGTACGCTAAGGTATGCCGGATACTGTCGGTCATCAGATCTAGCGCAATCAATTGGCTTTTTAAACCATTTCGGCTTCTCTCAATGTTGAAAAATCCTTGGACTAATACCCTAATATGTAGTGACAGAGGATTAGGCTATGCTGATGTTATAATTACTACATTAAGAAAGGCTTAAAAGCAAACATTATTTTTCGTGTTAGAGACTTTTTTTAAGAAGAAATATTTGCCCTCTCGCTCAATCAGCAAGATCGAGGCATTTTCCGAACGAGATTAACAAATAGCTGTAAATGTTATTTTCGTGGCTGAATTAATTCATAAAGACATAGCAGAAATGTTTGAGCTGATGAAGATGCACTAGTTTCGCAAAAACACGTTTCAGGTTTAAAACTGGAGTAAACAGGAAGTGCTGCTTGGAGCCAGCGAAGTTTGTTTTCGAAAAACGGTGCGTTTGCGTCACATGACGTCACTCGGGGATCCGCGTGCGATTGAAAAGGTTTACCGACTCTTGGATGACGGCGCTGGTATATAAACGACCGTCCTCTTRAACCTCACTTCAGTTGGAGCTGATAAACTATCGCGAACAGTGCTAGATATTTTAAAAGAAAGATAATCAAAGAGAAAACACGTTGAAAAAATGGTTAGTATTGGTATCGTAGTTGGATATAATGTTTGTGTTTATAGATTTAAATGTTAAGTTATTGCGTTCGTTTTTTAGGAATATTTAACGCTTCCTAGCAAGCCTACATACAGCAGTTCGAGTAGTTCAGAAAAACAAGGAATAATTTATAATGCAAAAAGGATGCGAAGAGGCTCGAATCAGAACTCCAAGAGCTTGAATGTGGCTGTGCTTGGCAAAGATGGCGTTGGAAAGTCTGGTAGGAATATTATTATTTATCTCTAGGTCGATGGCTACCACGCTTGTCAAAAAAAAAAGATTTTTCAAATCAACAGCTATTCTATTCAATGCATTCTGCTCCGCTTTCAAAGTCAAATCCTTTGATATTATGAATATTTTAACAAACACTGAATTAAGAAAAAGAAAGAACAAAAAACTTGATACGAAGGATAATGGATGTTTTGGTAACCTAAAGCATTGATAACCAGATACTTTAAAAGCGCTCGTATTTATTGTGTTTACGTCAACGAAGTGAATCAAAAACAAATGTACATCCGTGATAAAGACTTGCCTTCTATCAAGATAGCTTTTGTTTCGAACCGTTCTTGTTTAGTCTAAATAATTTAATATCTTTTGTATTAGCATACCACTGAAAAAAAGTCATTATTTCTAGCAGTACTCATCTTAGAGTCTTGGTTTTCTCGTGTTTTTTAGATTATTATCTTTTGTCGGAAATTAAATATAATGCATTACGCAAATTCATCTTTCAACATACTGACATCGACATGTTCATGGAAATAGTTCTCTAAAAGAAAGCTGTTTTTTTTAGCTTTAATTGAAAGCGGCATTTAATGGACTGAAAGCACGATATCTTAGACATTAGAGAAATAACGACAGACAGCATGAAATGAATCGGCGTTTAGTTTCAATGGAAAAAAAAATGCAAAACTTAACCGGGAAAATCTTACTGGATCCTTTTATCAATTTGACGTGACCTATCAGAGCGTTTTCCATTGCGGTGAAAAATAGTTCCGATACACGCAAATTAAGATAATTAAGCACGCGACCATAACGAAAAATTGGTAAAATGTTATTGAAAAAAAATCCTAAAATTCTGTTTTTCCATATTAGTATATTTTCTTTGGGAAAGATTACTAGTGTTAGTGCAGATGATACTAAATCTATAAGCTTCTTTGCAGGGTTGTGTACATTCTCGCAAAGCTTAGGGGTGCTAATCATTATCATCCATTTTTATTTCTTTGAACCTTATATTTTCTGTTCACCTTGGTCGGGTTTCGAAAACTGTGTAGTATGATCCAAAACATATGGATTAATATGCAAGCATCCTACGTGGCTAGTCTTCACGTCACGCTTGGTTCATAACACAGTTGACCCTGTATACTATATCGGCCTAAAGGGGCTTGGTTCTTCAAAACAAAGCCTAACTTCTGGTCAAAAAATAACGCTCTTCGAATTACTAATGGTTGAGAATAACTTCAAATATCGAACCTTTGTTAAAAATGAGGTAAATCGGTTAAGAAAAAGAGTCTAATATTGAGGATTTTGAAGACAAAGTTTTAGAATATTTACTTCTGTCACCATGGTGAGTTCATTGCGCGAGATCGAAACGTGTTCAGAATTCATACGCAAACCTATTCATATCAAGGTGAAGTGGAAGGTCTTGCTTCATCAGTAATAATACAGGTTTTAGGCTTGTTCGATGGACCTTGCTTTTAACTGATAACAGTCTTAATTCAAGTTAAGAAGCAGGAAAGTGATTTTGACGCTCAACGCCACACGTCACATAGTACTTTTCATGGCACTTTCTTAGCCAGACTAAAGTCTGAGCGCGCGCTGCATTAGGGAAATTGTTCTCTGTGTAGTCAAGAGACGGACTTGATGAGACCCCGGCTAGTTCAAAAAAAAAAAAAAAAAACCGGCAAATTTAATCCGAAGTAGAAATCTAATTTATCAAGCGCGCACGATAAAACCGACAAAGTAGAAGTTATGGATTGCGGAGACGGATATCTTTATTCAATTGTCTTTGCTCCTAGCATTAGCCGGAAATATTTAAACCTGAAAGCGATGATAAATAACGTCAGTCAAAAAAATTCATGCACGTCCACGTTTGCGAAATCTTTTCATTATGAAGTATATTATTTAAAAGCAAAACCATATGCATTGTATTTATCAACTAAATGATCCTAGAGAACCATCAATGACCATAGAACTAGACTAGATAGAAGACATCATATTCGGCGCGCRCACCATCATAGGACACCTGGTTACTCTTTAAGTCGGGCTCACTATGCAACAGGCCTTCCGAGGTTGATGGAGAAACTGGGTATGTTAAAAAAAAAGAAAAAAAAAAAGAAACTATTAGATTTTAAAGGACATGAAGTGGCATGAAGTGTGTTAGAATCTCTTTGCGGTGTCATACTGTCACACTGGTTGCGACATTAATTAAAATACTTTCAATCATTATCAAATAAGTAGTGGTTTTGAAGAACATTTTAAAAGAAAAATTAGACACGAAAGTTTCGACGATAAAATTAATATTGTTGAGAATGACGACATGAAGTCGTTGAAACTCAATACTTTTTTCTCTAATCTTTCCTTAAAATACTTTTAATTACTTCCGAAACATTCTCTTGTGGATAACAAATACTGCATAGTGAATTGAGTTATTGCGGTTGCTTACAGATAGTCTTTTGAAAGCCAATTTTTTTTTACTCTGTTCTTTACACTGCGCTGTCACATTAGTATTATGCGATCATTTACTGTAATACTCCTTTTCAAAAATACTTGTATGCAAAAAACTGAAAACCAAAAAAGGTTCAGCTCGCGAAACACTTTTATTTTCGCGGCTAACGAGTTTCATCTCTGAGTACATTCATTCTTATAACAGTTTTATTATCACCGCGTGCCAAGCATGCTTGTATATCAATGCATCGTTTCCTTCTATCCATTTTCTTCCATTTTCCATTCTTCCTCGCCCGTTTTTATGCACAGAATATCTGCGTCAAAGTAAGATTGATAACCGTTCTTATCGATCTTCTCATGAATAAATATTGCGGGATTAGAGTAGATGGCAAGGTTCCGTTCTAATTCCTTAATTCCTTCCGTCTTATGCACAAAGGAACTGATCCATTGTCGTCAATTCACTTGACCTCCAATGCCTTTCCTTCTTAGAAATGTAATGTTAGCTTTTTAGCTTATTTACGACTTCCTTGACCGTGAGCATAGTATAATAATTTTACATTTTCTAATCTGTATTTTGTGAGAGGCATATTTGTTAAGGTCAGTTATAAATTGGGAATCTAAACTTGACGGGGCACTAAATCAAAGACAAATCGTAGGACATGGTATAATTGATTGACTATAGATGGTTCACGCATGCGCGACAATTCGGGGATATTTGACGAAAGATGTCTAATTCTATTGATTATTATTATTTTCTCTTCAGCCTTCATTGTTCGAGCGCTTACGAGACGCTTTATTGGGGAATACGATTCAAAGTTCGGTAAGAAGCAGATAAATAAATAATTTTGTGAATAAATTACTGAATGATCAACCAAATAACTAAGTAAGCAACCAACCTACTAATCAACCTGCCAACCTTCTAATCAACCAACCAACCACCTCCCTTAACCAACCACCTCCCTAAACCAACCAACCAA